CCCGAGGGCATTCCCGCCCCGCCGGGCGGAGTCTGGGGCGGGCGGGCTGGAGGAAAGGACCGGGGAACCAGGGCGACACTGATGGGAAAACTTCTGCCTCGGTGGCTCGAAATCGGGGGCTGGAGGCTGGAGGGTCTCACGAGGTCTGGCCGGCTGGTCGCAAAGCCTATTTCCACATGAGTGGTGGAGACCTGGGTGGGGAAAGCGGGGCCGTGGTCGCTTTCTTGGAGTTTGGGGCTTATTTTTATTTTCCGGATGAGGACATCAGCCTTGACTTCAAGTCCCTGGTTTTGCGCATTGTTTCCCAAAGTGTGGTCCAGGGACTGAGCGCAGACCCGCCACCTGGGAGCGCGAGCGTGTGTTTTCAAAAAGCTTTCTGGGCCCCACCCATTCGAGCCCGGGGGTGGGGCTGGGACCTGCCGTCCTTACTAGCCGCCTGGGCGATTCCGAAGCACGTAAAGTTTGGGAGCCCCTGGCACGTAGTAAGTGCTCATCTTGTGAGCCGCTACTGCTATTAATTTTGGCTCCCAAACTTAGCTGGATATTCCTCGGATAACTTGTAAAAAGCACAGATTTTCCTAACCCCCAGCCATTCCCCCCCCCCGCCCTGTTATGATCGGTTATCTCCTAGGTGGGGCTTAGATATGCCCGTGTTTACATAGGACACCTCCATTATAACCCCACCAGGTGACATGGTAGTTGATTTGGGAGCGGGGTGCTGGACTTTGGCAAGCATCGTCACATTTAATCCTCATCACAAGCCTATGAAGTTTAGAAACCTCTCTTCTCCCCGTTTTTCGGATGAGAAAGCCCAAGCCCAAAGTCACTGTCACTGAGTGATGGTGTCAGTGACCTGACAAAGGTCTGGGTCATCACTAGTGCATTTTCCATGTATCGGCAACATTGTTGGTGAGTAAAACTCTTCCATGCTGCGTCTCAGCCCGGTTCCATCACTAAGGAATCCTCAGCGATGCCCGTCACCCATTTCCCATCTCCTTGTTTCCCTGTGAGGAGTTCCATGGGTACCTCCATAGCTACAGGAAACTATTTCAGAGAAGAAAAGGTTTCATTCCTTCCATCCACTGATTTCCAAGGACTTAAGTGCCGCCCCTCCCCCCCCCAAGCTGGCTAATAAAATATCACAGCACTCAGCTCACCATCTCTCTCCCTAGTAAGCCAACCAAATTCTATTTCCACATAAAGATTTACTTGTGTTAGTTCAACATGGGGAAAAGTGGACATAATGTAAATATCATATACGATTTCAGAATGTTATGATGCAGTGACACCAACCATATGTGCACAAAGGTTGTCTTGTGTTATTACACTTGGGGGAAATTCGGAAATAATGTCTATCTTATTGTGGCTAAGACTATGGTGCACGACTACCGTGGAGTAATGTTTCGCCATTAAATAATTATGTCTATAAAGAGATTTCAATGATACATCACAAGTTTATGCAATGTTGTGTAGGAAGAATATTCATTTTACATTACATTAGAATCCTATGCAACTTTTAAATGTAAAGAAAATGAATGGAAGAAAATATTTTGTAATGTTTGTGGTAGGCATCGGTGAAAAGGTTGAGTGATTTTTCCCCATCTTCATATGCTTCTTCCAAATTTTCTGTTATAAATATGAGTTTTCTTATAATAAGACAGAAAAATTTTAAAATAAAAGTTAAGGTAGTCATATTAATAAATATGACATTTTAATATCTAATTTTTTTGAGTCGGGATTCTGTCTCCCAGGCTGGAATGCAGTAGCACAATTACAACTCACTTCAGTCTCAACCTCCTGGGATCAGGTGATCCTTCCTCCTCAGCCTCCCTAGTAGCTGGGACTACAGGCACATGCCGCCACACCTGACTAATATTGTTATTTTTATTTTTTTTGTTTGAGGCAGGGTCTTGCTCTGTTGCCCAGGCTAGTCTTGAACTCTTGGGTTCAAATAAACCTCCTGCCTTGGCCTCCAAAAAGTGCTGAGATTACAAGCATGAGCCACTGCGCCTGGCCTATATTTCTTTATTTAACAAACATTTATACAGTCTTGCTAAGATAGTGTCAATTACTTTGCTAAGTGCTTTCCAGATGTTAACACAATATTAACCCTTGATATCATTACTATCAAGAAATAATGGCTCTGTCAGTTAGGAGTGAATTTTGGCTACAAGTAACAGAAACCCAGATTATACTGGCCTAACGAAGTCTGGAATTGATTGATCCCAGTGCTGCATCAGGGGATCAGTAAAGTAAAGGCCATACTCTAGAGATCTTGGCATTTTCCTCATAGTTTCAAGATGGCTGCACAAGCCCCTGGCATCACATCTGCATCCAGAACCAGAAGAGGAGGGGGCCAGTGCCAGCCGCATCTGTTCCCTTTTTAGCACAAATGCCAAACTTTTCCCAGGAACTCCTCCAGCAGCTGTTCTAGAGAAATTCACCAGTATGTTGGGGACCCAGATGATTTAGACTCTTCTCAGAATGTGTGGGTGGGGGAAGGGTGCTTGGAGATGTGGGGGATCTGTGTTCATCATGGCCTTTTAGTTGGGGTAGCAGATGGCTGCGGGTCCTCCAAAGTGCAAGATGGCCCTGCATGTCAAAGCAGCGTGAGGCATGAGCCTTCACTTGGACCTGGGGACATTGCTGCTGGGAGAGAACTGGGATTCTGTGTGCAAGAAAGAAGAGGGAAGTGGCCGCCCCTCCCACCACGCCTCTTCTTCCTCCCATGAACCTGATTTTCGTCCTGATTCAAAGCTCTTTGGAATTAATCCGCGGCTTTCCCTTTGTCCCATGGAGTTCCAGGAGGCACCACGGTGCTGGTGGAGCTGACGCCCGACATCCACATCTGTGGCATCTGCAAGCAGCAGTTTAACAACCTGGATACCTTTGTTGCTCACAAGCAGAGTGGCTGCCAGCTGACCAGCACATCTGGGGCAGCCCCCGGCACGGTCCAGTTTGTATCAGAGGAAACAGTGCCTGCCACCCAGACCCAGACCACCACCAGAACCATCACCTCAGAGACCCAGACGATCACAGGTACAGCTGGGATGGGGGAGTCAGCTGGCATTGGCCTGACTGTGTCTCAGACACCTCCATGGAACTTGTTAAAAATAGGTCCCCAGGGCCCACCTCCCAGGGTCGCCGATTCATTATTTTTAATGAGCTCCACCAGGAAGCCAGCTGCCAGCCTGGTTTGGGGGCTGCTAGGTTAAAGCATTAAGTGTTAGCGGTTATAAATGTTGTCATGTGTTGAGCAAGACAGACAAAAAACAGGTTTTTAAAACAAAAATCTATATACGAAGGGAAAAAAAAGACTTGCAGGAAATGCGTGGCAATAAAAAAAGGTGGTTGTTTTGGGAGGTTAGGAACATGTGTGTGATCCCTGATTTTGCCTTACTTGTGTAAAGGGACAAAAACATGTGGTTGTTTTGTTTTGTTTTTTTAAATCTACAAGCAGATGTTGCTGCCTCCTTTGCCCTGTGCTGCCAACCAGGAAAAGATCCCTGTTTTCTGTTGTGTCTATTCCTTCCACCAAAAAAAATTACAGGTGGATTAAAGATTGTAACGTGAGTTCTAGAGGAAATATTATACTCACACACAGAGAAACACACACACACACCTCCGTGTATACCTATATAACAGAAAGATAACTTTAAAAGTATAAAGTAACCCATTGATGAGATGATGCTGGGTCCCATGGAGAAACAGAGAATCTATTCTTTAGCTAAAGGCATTCAATTCTAAAAATACACCATGGGTGCCAAAAAAATATACACATTTTAAGTGATGTTACCTCTGCATGACGTTTAGTTCGCCATCATCAGAAGTGTTTGGACACTGATGGTAACCACTTTGAGCACCTCTTATCTTTGCAGAAGTCAAACACGACTTGCATTCATCTTTTGTTATTGGTATATATTGAGTGTTACAATTTCAATACAGGTTTTTCCCTTCTTAAAACGTGCATATGTCTTGTTGGCACCCTCTGTATATGACTATGCCTGCTGCCACAGAAGGCAGGCTGTGGACCCTCCACCAAGAAAAAGAATCATCAGTGTGGTTGCAAATAAAGTTAACAATTTTTCCAAAGTGAAAAACAAAGCCTAAAGGCAACTTGGCAAAATATTTGCAGCATATATGATTAAGACCTAATATCTCTCCTAGGCAAAGAACTCTTTAAACCAGTAAAAGTAGAGAAAAAGAACAAAGTGGGGAAGTCAGTGGACGACATACAAGAGACCACTAGACATGAAGGGGTACTAGGCTGCCTTAGTGATGCAAGAAATGCAAATCAAAACAAGGCTGGGAAAGGACACTGCTGTCATCGTCTAGGGATGTATATTCATATCACCTTCAATTTTCAGAACTTAAATGTAAAAGCTCTCCGTTTTATACAGGCCAGGTGCAGTGGCTCATACCTGTAATCCCCAGTACTTTGGGAGTTCGAGGCAGGAGGATTGCTTGGGGCCAATAATTGGAGGCCAACCTGAGCAACATAGTGAGACCCCTTCTCTACAAAAATTAGCTGGGTGTGGTGGCACACACTTGTAGTCCTAGCTACTCGGGAGGCTGAGATGGGAGAATCGCTTAAGCCCGGGAGGTTGAGGCTGCAGTGAACTGTGTTCATGACACTTCACTCCAGCCTGGGCAACAGAGTGAGACCCTGACTCAATGAAATAATAAAATAAAATGTACATAAATACATTTACCTAATAAGTCCATGTTGAGGCCTTTATTTGTCCTATAAAACTTCATAAACAAGTATACAAGGAATTCACTTAACAGTGTATGCTATAAAGAAAGTATACATGAGAAAGTTAGACAAATAATCCTCAAAGATTCCAACAATGGAATGTAACATAGCCTTGGAAAGGGGAGCTAGATCTGTGTGCAGACATAGAAGGATTCTCGAGGTAAGTGGAAAAAAATATATATGTGTGTGTGTGTGTGTGTGTGTGTGTGTGTGTTATATTCAGGGAAAGCTTCTAGAACAGGGATGAGGCAGGGAATGTAAATGAGAGAAGTAGGCTGTGAGGTATTAGAGAAGGGCAGAGACTGTGGAAAAATCTTGTAGACCTTATCTAAAAGTACAGCCTCTCTTTGGCACCAGCCAGTTAGATATTGGGAGTTTTCAGAGAAGCTGATAAATGTGACATTTCCTAACTTTTAAAATTTTGTTGGCCAGACAAGATATATCTGGGAGCCCAATTGTGCCTACAAGCTTCTAGCTTATTCTAAGAGTATGTTTACCGGGCAGTTCACCTAAAGCTAAGGAGTAGAGGACATCAGAAGCTGAGGAACCAGCTTCTCCCTTGTGAAAGTATATATTGAGGAGATATTTGAATGTCCTGGCAATAAGCAAAGTTTTGTGGAGTTTATGTTTAATGCATCCAAAATAATGTTTCTATGGAGTTTTTTAAACAGCAGAAAATTTTAAATAAAATAAACTGATCAGCTCACAAAGCTTAATAGAAGTACCTTGAGATCTTCCCACTTTCTTCTGAGTTTATCCTAATTCTCATCTTAAAGAATATCACCAAGGAAATATGAAAACTAGAACACACCTCACAGGTGAATCTGGTTCAACTTTTTTATTTTATAGCTAGACAAAGTAGAGCTGTAATCAGGGAAGAGACATGGCCAAGGTCCTACCACAAGCTCAGGACAGTCCTGGGACATGTGTGTTTTGGCCCTTACCCCAGCTCTTTTTGGTTTGTAGAGACGAGGTCTTGCTTAGTTGCCCAGGTTGGTCTCAGACTCTTGGACTCAAGTGATTCTCCTACCTCTCAAAGTGCCGGGATTACTGGCATGAGCCACCATGCCCAACCTCAGAAAGCCCTCTGTAACACCACACTTGTGCTCTTCTCTCAGACCAGGTCAGGTCCCTGTAATTAAATGATTACTTGAGAAATGAACTTAAGGTCTGTCCCCATCACTGACCTGTAAGCATCCCCTCCCATGCTATTTACGACTGAATCCTGGTGCCTGCAGTGACACTTGCCACAAAGACATGAGGCATTTGTTGAGTGTGGACTACAGCCACCAGAGATAGAGATTCATTCATTTATCTGTTCCTCCATATGTTCATTCATAGATGTTTGTTGAGTCCTTCTTACATGCCAGATATTCTTCTCAAAGTGCTGGGGAGCTAGTAGTGACCCATGCAGTCAGAAACCTTCCCTCCTCAGAAGGATTGCTTGAGCCTAGAAGTTTAGACCAGCCTGGGCAACATAGGGACACCCCATCTCACCAAAAATAACAAAATAAGTTGGGCGTATGCACCTGTAGTTCCAGCTACTCAGGAAGCTGAGGCTGAAGGATTACCTGAGCCCAGGAGGTCGAGGCTGCAGTGAGCAGTGAGCATGCCACACTGCACTCCAGCCTGGGCAACAGAGTGAGACCCTGACTCAAAAAATAACAGAAAATAAAATAATAGTTTCTTTCTTTTTTTTTTTTTGAGTTGGAGTCTCACTTTGTCACCCAGACTGGAGTGCAGTGGCCGCTCCCTGCCACCGCAGCCTCAACCTGCTGGGCTCCAGCGATCCTTGTGCCTCAGCCTTCCAAGTAGCCAGAATTACAGGCATGCGCTACCACGCCCGGCTGATTTTTTTGTTTATTGTAGAGATGAGGTCTCGCTGCCCAGGCAGGTCTCGAACCCGCGGGCTCAGGCAATCCACTCACCTCAGCCTCCCAAAGGCGCGGGATTACAGGCTGAGCCACCGAGCCCGGCTAAAATAATAGTTTCTTAAAAGCAGGTAGTAAAAGGATGGTGAAACCTGCAGTACTCTTTGTCTGTACTCAGCTGCTCTCCCCAGCTTTCCCACCTCTCTGCCAGCTAAGCCACAGAATCCTGCCTCCTTTTCTCTTTGATACTTACAAGGTTGATTTTCTGGGGACAGCTGCCCCCACTGGGCTTCAAGCTCTCATAGGCTGGCGGGTCCCAGACTTGCCTGTGGGTCAGGCTCTCGGGGGGGTGGGGGGATTGCTAACAGTGCTGGTACCCAGGCTCCACTTCCTAAGCATGAACCTGGCACTAAGGCTCAGGTATCTGTATTTTTAAAAAGCTGTCTGGGGGTTCTAGGTCTCAGCCAGGTTGGAGATCCACTGGCTTCCCAAGGCCACAGTGCGCCCCCCTACACACACACAGAGCAATGTCTGCATTCAGACAGTTTCCAGACATGTATGTCCCTCTTCTGTCCTTGATGAAGCCAAACCCTTCCTCACTCAACACATAGGTCTCCTCTCCACCCAGTAATAGTTGAGTGTTAAGGAAAATGTATCCTCTACCTGCTGGCTCTGAAAACTGCCTCTTAGCCGGGCTCGGTGGCTCAGCCTGTAATCC